TGAAGTAGACAAGTTTGGGATTCGATGTAAAACACAATTTTTAGGTTCTTCTGACTCCAGTAGTGTAGATGTAAGGTGAGCATTTCCATTGCCCAGCTCTTTGAAGGTAGAATGTGGGAAGCAGCAGTCTTTGAGGAAGAAATAGGACGAACAGAATAGCTCAGTGATAATGTGTAAGGCCTTTGGTTCCATTGTAGTACTGGGGAAAAAGGGGAAGTTGCAGGAAAATACCCTGTACTCTTATAAGACTTGTTTATTTATTTATTACAGCAAAGGCTGGCCTTCAACTCAGCTGTGCAGTGATAAAGACACTAAGCTTTTGGTCCTCCTGTCTTTATCTCTAAGCCCTAACATTCCTTGTGTACATCACTACACTCACTGTCTTAGTCAGGCTTTCTTTTTTTTTTTTTTTTTTTTTAAAGATTTATTTATTTTTTTATTTAGTGTATATGAGTACACCATTGCTCTCTTCAGACACACCAGAAGAGGGCATCAGACCCCATTACAGATGGTTGTGAGCCACCATGTGGTTGCTGGGAATTGAACTCAGGACCTCTGGAAGAGCAATCGATGGTCTTAACCGCTGAGCCATCTCTCCAGCCCATTAGTCAGGCTTTCTATTCCTGCACAAACATCATGACCAAGAAGCAAGTTGGGGAGGAAAGGGTTTATTCAGCTTATACTTCCACACTGCTGTTCATCACCAGAGGAAGTCAGGACAGGAACTCAAGCAGGTTAGGAAGCAGGAGCTGATGCAGAGTCATGGAGGGGTGTTACTGGGTTGCTTCCCCTGGCTTGCTTACCTTGCTTTCTTATAGAACCCAGGACTACCAGCCCAAGGACGGCACTACCCACAATGGGCACGCCCACCTTTGATCACTAATTGAGAAAAATGCCTTACAGCTGGATCTCATAGAGGCATTTCCTCAACTGAAGCTCCTTTCTCTGTGATAACGCTAGCTTAAGTTGACACACAGAACCAGCCAGTCCACTCTCCCTTCATGTAATTGAAACTAAGGCTTTGTATGTGTTATGAAAGTGTTTAACCAATAGCCACATCTCTAGCCCTCCATAGGATTCTTTTTTGGTTTTTCAAGACAGGGTTTCTCTGTATAGCCCTGGCTGTCCTGTAACTCACTCTGTAGACCAGGCTGGCCTCAAACTCAGAAATCTGCCTGTCTCTGCCTCCCAAGTGCTGGGCTTAAAGGCGTGCGCCACCACAGCCCGGCCCTCCATAGGATTCTTAATAAGCTTCTTGTTAGAAATCGGTATAAATAGTCCTTTTAATTTTTTTTAAATACATATTGTTATAAATTAGAGCACCTACTGTGTGTTAGTTACTGGGGATTGAGTGATCAGTAATGGACCTAAGTCCCTCCCTTCATGGAGCTCACAGTCTATTTTGAGAAGTAGACACTGCACAGAAAACTCATTAACCCACATCATTTCAGTTTTGAGCTATCCTTCCTTGGAACTCTCCTCATTCTGGGGAATTCTTTCATGGTTTCTTTAAATGTGTCTGAATTACTCAGTAATTTATATTGTGATAGGTTTCAAAACAAAAAACACTCTATAGAAAGTATACTGCCAGTGGACAGTGGTGGTGCACGCCTTTGATCTCAGCACTTGGGAGGCAGAGGCAGGTGGATTTCTGAGTTTGAGGGCAATCTGGTCTACAGTGTGAGTTCCAGGACAGCCAGGGCTGCACTCTAGAGAAACCTTGTCTCGAAAAGCGAAATAAATAAATAAATAAATAAATAAATAAATAAATAAATATTTTAAAAAAAGTGTACTGCCTGGGTTTCAAGAAAGAAAGGAAGGAAGAGAGAGAAAGAAAGAGAAAGAAGCTGCCACCTAAAGGAAGACTTGCTTGAGCCCCAGGGTCTTGGGAGATGGTTTGGATAAAGGATATGGAACACTAAACTGAGCAGAAGGTAGTGCGAGGCAGGCATCTAGACCTTGTGTGAGTGGACCACTTGCACTGTTCCTAGGGTCTTGGGCATTTTATGCAAACTCTCAATGACTGAGCCACACCTCAACCCATGTGTCTGATTTTAAAACTTGTTAATACACAGAGAACCTCTTTGGAAGCCTTGTTAGTCCAGACCTGAAGTGAGTTAGTTCTGTGGCTTGGGATCTAACTCAGTAACACTGCAGGTCTGGTCCCCATACTATGGTGTGTGTGTGTGTGTGTGTGTGTATATATCCACTGCATGTATGTGGAGGTCAGAGGGCAACTCGGGCTAGTCCTTTCCTTCCACCCTTATGTGGGTTCTTGTTAAGCAGCAAGCACCTTTATGCACTGAGCTACCTTCCTGCCCCCACCTATTTAGTTTTTGTTTGAGAAGAGTGTCTTCACTGTGAAGTCCTGGCTGTCCTGGAATTAGCTATGTAGAGTGATCTGGTTTTGAACTCAGATCCTTCTATCTTTACCTATTGATTGCTGGGATTAAAGATATGCTAGCATATAACCTAATTTTTTTTAAGTGGTGGAACATTTGTCTAGTACATGGATCAAGCCCTAAGGTTGATTCCACAGTGTTCTGCATCCCCTAGTCTGTGATAAAGTAATATAATTGAAAATGAAAATCAGAGCTGGAGAGATGGCTCAAGTGTTTAAAAGATTTAAGAATGGTTGCTACTTTTTCAGAGAACTCAGTTTGGTTCCCAGCACCCAGAATGGCAGCTCACAACCACTTGTAGCTTGATCTCCAGGATTTGATGCCCTCTCTTGGCCTGCCTTCACTCTGGCACAGAATAAATATATAAAAAGTAAGAATACAGAGAACTAGGTATGTTCACCAGCTCCTGGAACATACCATAGGGCTAGATTTGGGAGAAAGGAAATATGTTAAGATTATAGGCCGAAACTGGACATGGTAGTGAGAACACACCTTTAAGGTGGAGGATCTTCATTTGATCTCTGCCAGAGCTACAGCCTAGTGAGACCAGGGCTGAAATGATGGTAGGCATGGTAGATAGTGTCCCTTAGAAGAAGCTAGGCTGGAGAGGTGGCTCAGCCTTGGTTCCTGGCACTCATGTCTACCAGGTCTAGAGCATCTCATGCCTCTGACTTCTTGAAGCACATACACACATAATTTCAAAGATCTTTTCAAAAGTAGAATCACTTCTGTGGGGTTTTACTTAATATCAGGCCCCAGCCCCATGTCTCAAGATTAGATAACATGGACTCTGGGGGCAGGGCCAGACTCCTTTGTAAGGTCAGATGAGATGGACCCTTGAATGAACTTTCTTACTCCTTTGTAAACTCACGCTTTTTTTGGTTTGGGATAACCAAAGCATTGTATTTTGAAAGCTGGAAATGTTGGGGTGTGGTGGAGCATACATTTTGAAGGTGGAGACAGACAACAGACCTCTGAGGTCAAGGCCAAGCCTGGTCTACATAGCGAGTTCCTAGATGGGGCTATAGTGATAATCTTGTCTGAAAACAAACCATGGGGGCTGGATCTCAGCAGTTAAGAGCAGCTCTTCCAAAGGATTCAGATTCAATTCCTAGCACTCAAATGGCAGCTCGCAGCTGTCTGTAAGTACAGAGCCAGGAGATCCAATACCTTTACACAGACGTATATGTAGACAAAGCATCAATGTACATAAAATAAAGTTCAGTTTAAAAAAAACACCTGAATGTAGTGACAATTCTTGGATTTTGGTTTCTTTTTCTTTTTTTTTTTTTTTTGGTTTTTCGAGACAGGGTTTCTCTGAGTAGCCCTGGCTGTCCTGGAACTCACTCTGTAGACCAGGCTAGCCTCGAACTCTCGAACTCAGAAATCCGCCTGCCTCTGCCTCCCAAGTGCTGGGATTAAAGGCATGCGCCACCACCGCCCGGCGGAT